TCATCTTACTTCTGGAAACGGGTGAGTTTCTCCTGTAGTTCTTAGTTCAAGCCAAATACCTAGTGAGAAGTTGCTTCACCGACACGTTAGAGTCAGCACACATTTATATCGACGCCAATAAATTGCGTCTGTTTAAATCACCTTCTTGGTAGAAAGCACACAACTCAAACTTTCCGATCAACACTGTCTGATTACTAAACGTCAAATGGAATTACTAGCTGTTCGATCATTCACAATTGTAATATGATGGTTCTTCTTCACGTACCACGTCTGACACATGAGCTTCTTATTAAGCAGCACTCACACACCATTGTTATCAAGACAGATTTCATCCCGTTTCAGTCTGATCATTCCTCGCCTATGGTTCACCAAACTGCCAGTCGCCTGGCTTCCAGTTTGACAAATGAACAATTGTAGTGAACAAACTAGAGCAACAAGAACTTGTCTCTCAAGGCACATGATAATCATGTTCAAATTGTTAATATAAAGTTTATTTCATCACCGAGACGTGAGCAAATTGAGAGTTGTGCTTGCTACTGTTGGTGTCTCCACTACGTCGACTCAATTTCCTCAATATCCCAACATGTCGAGCCTTTGAAAACCAAATTTTCACCAATGAGATGGTGAACAAAGAACGTATCCATTGGATAGAAAGGCGTTTGACTAATAGTAATTAAAAAAGGCAAGAGATAGTTCAGAAAATAAACAAATAAGAGACATCTAGATCGGAATAATTTTATTAGAGCTAAACGCTAAATCAAACGAAGGATATTGTGACGTAAGAGCAAATATATCAATTAATTTTCATCTCGAACAATATGGTCAAGGCATTTTGAATATTCTGGGTAGAGGTACTTGATCAAATCGTAGAGATAATAGAAAGGAGGTTTAGCAATTGGTTCCTCTTCTTCAGAGTCATCTGGTTTCCCTTCACCAGGCTCTTCTGGATTTTCCTCACCTGGTTCCTCTGGTTTATCTTCATCAGGTTCTTCGGGTTTCTCTTCATCAGGATTCTCTGGCTTCTCTTCACCAGGTTCTTCTGGTTTTTCCTCACCAGGCTTTTCTGGATTTTCTTCACCAGGTTCCTCTGGTTTCTCTTCATCAGGTTTCTCTGGCTTCTCTTCACCAGGTTCTTCTGGTTTTTCCTCACCAGGCTTTTCTGGATTTTCTTCATCAGGTTCCTCTGGTTTCTCTACATCAGGATTCTCTGGCTTCTCTTCACCAGGTTCTTCTGGATTTTCTTCTTCTGGTTCATCAGGATTCTCTTCATCTGGAGGTAGTGGCTCATCTATCTGTGGACCGTCGGGAATCTCCTCATCAGGTTCACCAGGAATCTCTGCAGCTGGAGGTAGTGGCTCATCTATCTGTGGACCGTCTGGAATCTCCTCATTTTTATCATTTGGGTCCTCTTCATCTGGAAGTTGTGGCTCTTCAATTTGTGGACCATCTGGAATCTCCTCTCCAGGATCAGTCGGATTCTCCTCGCCTGGCTTGTCTGGGTTTTCTTCATCTGGCTTTCCTGGCTCTTCTGGTTGAGTTGGTTTTTCGTTTTCTTCCTTTTCTAAACATTTTTCAAGGCATTCTGTTATTTCGGGGTACAAAGTTTTCGCTATGTCCCAAAAGGAATTCTTAATTTTTTCTGTGTCGACTAAAATTTCTTTGCCTGTTGAGGATGAGCTCATTATGTTCGCTAATGATAGCTTAGTTTCTTCGCCGTCTTTTATACCTGAACGAAAGTACATCGAGTACATTTTCTTCACCATCTCCAATCACTCAACACGTGTTCGAATATTTGTGTTTAACATATTTAAAAGGTCTTTTTTTCAAATTTCTCACAAGTTCTTTTGATCACGAGTACATTTGAATATTTTGTTGAAATCGTGAGTAGTAATATTTACTAGCAATTTAACACTGTGGATATGTGTTTCCTGAAACCCTCACACCCATTATTGTTACCAAAATTTCCTCCAATCAGCCTGCATGTAATCGGGGTGTTGTGTATCAGTGGATACAGCTGAAACGGTGTAGAATATTTCTAAAGTGTCAAGGTAAATAAGCAAAAGTATGTTTCATTAACTGATAAGCAGTTCCTGTTCACTTTTATTAAAATTAACTCAAATTCCCTTGATTGATTTGACAATAAGTTGAGTACTGCATTCTTGTCCCCCCCCCCAACCCCACCCAACTTCACCCTGCTGTGAACTCCTATAATGCTACACAAGTAGGTAGGATTGCAATCTAATGGTCGCCTCAATGACCATGTCCAACCTACAATCTTCCTCTGTTCAGCATCTGCAGTTGGTGCGCCCACACTCTTTCCTCTTTAGTTAAACAAAGTATCCGAAGAGTGTAAACTATAATGCCTATTTTTATTGAAGTGTCATGTTTTGCGAAGAACCTGTGAGCAAATCAGTAAATCTTACTGAATTCTGTAAGTTGCTGAGAGTCTTTGTGTGAAGACAAACCTAAGGTGAAGCTCAAGGATTGAGTTTGTTTGCACAAGATTCTGATTTCGTGAATCTCTGTCATCTGCGCTAGTAAATTCGGCCCACGCATTTTATTATACTTGTATTTCACGTAAATTGAGACAATATTGTGGGCTCTGTCGAAGATGCTAGGATGTGGAGTCTCTGCGTTGTCATAAAGTTGATCTCCGGGTCTCCCTGGGCAGATTGCAATTTAAAATTAAGCATTTCCTACAATGGAATACAGGAGGGACGTCACAAGATATGAAGATTCAAATGCTGAGAATTCTTTATTTTTATAATATGGATACTTTCAGAATAATGGAAGCCAACTTTACATATGAAAAACTAATTTCTATAAATTCTCAGGTTGCTTCTTAATTCTTCTGCCTAAAGACCGGCAATTAGCAAGTGGAGGAATAGCTGGAGTAAATCGTGTGTATGGGTTAATGCAATATACATGCGAAATAATCAGATTAAATGTATGGAAAAGTTAATATCACATCGAGATTTACGTGGCCTATAATCCGTCCCAGAATAGACCCAACTTCGTTCTCCTATACATCTCACATAAAACTATAGTACTTGGATACTTCAATGCTCATTCCACCAAATTTGCTTATAAGAACAGAAACACACCCTAGAAGGAAATCAAAGTCATGCTTAAAGGCAGCCCTCTTGAACTTTTTTATAACGATGAGGATCCTGCTTCATATCTGCACTTCAATGGGACCAGAACAACTTCTGGCTTGCTCCTGGTTTCAAGAGACATTAGGTAGCTCACAAGACGCAAAATAATTTACGATCCTGTTTTTTGTCACAAAACAGTCATTGCTAGTAGTACCATCGGCAGTAAACGCATGACACTGAAAATGCCAACCAAGATATCATGTAACTTCAAGAAGGTCAACTGGCTTAGATTCACATAACACCTGGATAACGAACTTTACGAACAAACTTGAAAAACTGAAGATGTACAATCCTGGAGACGACAGTCAACTGTCTTAAGACGAGCCATCTTACAAGCCAAACGGACTACCTTCGACAGCTTCATTTCAAATTTAGATTATCGAAGTGACAGCCAACGCATATTTATATTCCTGGGTGACCTCCAAAACAACACGTAAAAATCGCAAGAAGAAACCTAAACAATAAACAGATTACCATTGACTCCCAAATAGTCAACTCCTTTGCTAGGTTCTTTTCTCACAAACTAAAGAAAAACCATCTTTTCAAAGGAAGCAATTAACAAATTTTGATGAAATTAAGGAAGGCACAACAATACCACACGTTGTACTTACTGAAAGATTCAGTTCTAACGAATTTAATGCTGCGATAAAACATCTAAAGTGAAATACGTCTCCTGGTGAAGACGGTATCCGCCCAGAATTCCTAATTAGAATGGGGTCAAAAGCCAGTCTTGTACCTGCCCAATGGGTAGTTGCCATGATAATTCCAATATTAAAAAAGCAAAGACAGTAGCAACTTTGACAATTATAGGCCTATCTGCCTCACAAAAATGTTGGGCAAACTTATGAAAAAAATGATTTAAACTAGGGTGACCTGGTTCCTTGAAACCAGCATCATTCTTAGAAACGCACATTTAGGCCTTAAGCCACAAAAGTCAAAAATCCCAGAAGAAGTCAAGATTTCATAACATATCAAAGATGCCCTTGATGCACGAAATACACTTACAGCTGAATTCATAGATTTTAAATCATCACATGTCCTAGTATAGAAAGTTAAGTTAAGTCTAAAATGCAATGCTAACAATATGTTCAAATCAAATCCATAGAGCAAATACTCCGCATTCCCCGGGAAGCAATAGCTGGACAAAAATGATCTGCATTCGAAGGAGAAATAGAGGCCATTAAGATAGCAATATGCCAACGCAGTAATTCTGTCGGACTCGCAGTCAGGAATAAAGTCAATAGGAAACAGAGAATCATCCAAAATAGCCGAAATACACGAAAGAGAACAACTATATCAATTGCTCAGAGAAATAAAAACAAGATTGTGTTTCTACAATGGATCCACGGACACCGTTACATTACAGGCATTGAGCGCGCTGACATACTTGACATGAAGGGAACCACAATGTTGCAAGGTATAGACAAGCCATTGTCTTTCCACACAGTAAAGACCTCATTCAGGAGAGAATTCAATATTTCAAGATGCAACGAACTTAACACTCGAACAAATGAGAAGTCATGGACAACGGCACTTTTCAATATAGCTGACCGGCAAAGAATCGAAGAAGTTGATGCTTGGCAAGACACCTTCAAGAATAGGAGCATGCGCTCAACCAGAATGCCTCCTCTGTGACCCACAGGAGGAAATGGAGATGATCCATCTGATTCGGAGACCAGCCCTAAAGATAACGACTGAAAACCAGAGATACTGGGAAGCCAGAAGTCAACTAACGAGCCACTAACACCTATGCTGATACCTCTATGTATTCGTTGCTCCACACTGTGAAAACAGAAGTCGAATAAGGAGATAATGAAAGATATTCTAAAAATAGCCATTGGAAAGAAAATTTAATTAGTTCTGTTGTTAAACAAAAATGAATGTGGATTACTCAAAGCGCAAAGACACGAACATGTGATGAGCATCATGAACGCCAAGTTGATTCCTCATTATGGACGACGTTAACCAGGCTTCTCCCAGTACAGATCACCCGAGTGCTTACTCGATTTCATTACTTGAACTTCAAAAGCTTACTGTAAATAGAAATGACAGCACAGAGTGATGACGTAATGGAGTCACCAATTGAGAAACTTTCAGATCACTAGTTGTGCGCAACAACACTCATGCGCATTCTTGATCACAGTGCCAACGAATGACTTCCAAAATTGCAACAAAAGAACCACCATCTTAATCCATGTTCTCGTTTCCGCTTCCAGTCGAGTCAGCTCACCACGTGTTCAATTCAATCCATCCTTTGTTACGCTTCTAATGAATACCATCTTATCACTCGCCTATTTATCACCAACTACAGATGTTCTCATCCATGTTGCGAAGAGGAAAGAAATGGAACTAAATGCCAAAGTCCAACACACGTGTTAGCTGTCAGACACTGGTTGCATTGGAAGCAATAATTAAATAGAGTACTTTAGCACGTATTGGAAATAATTATTCCACTGTGAGCCATAATTTTCTTTTGCCAGGCTAGCAAGGTTGACAAATACACTTGATACCCTCTTCACATTCCTCTGTCAAACTCTTTTATTCCCATTGACTTTTTTGTGCATTGAGTTTTATCTGAATCTTCATAGTGTTTATGTTTGGCACCCTACTTGTATTCACAACAGAAAGTGGATCACAATTCTCTCCTGGCCTGTATCCTGTCCTGTTGCACTTTTTCATCCACACCTTATGTCAGGTATAATTTCATCTTCTTCCAGTTTAAATTCCTCGAAACATCCTCATATCGCTCTAACTGCAGAACTCGCTTTTTATACAACTCTTGGGCTACCTGTCTAAATTATTCCTGACTTCAAGGGCATAGAAAATATAAACCATCTGCTATGTTGCTCGCGAATACTATACCATTTTGAACCTGTCCGCCTATTATCAACCTGTTAAATGATATGATAGTACAAAACCATAAAGTCTTATCAACATCATCGTTAGTTTGTGTTCAAGATGTCTTTAGAAAACCTGTACATCCGCCTTTTCAAAGACCCTAAATGAAAATCCAAATACTTTACCCTCAGTTGCAATGGTACTGAAAACTCAATAAGTATCGACAACCTAAAGCCGGTATACCTAGACCATCCTGATGTAAACCCCTGGATAGCGCCTTTTCCGTTTAAGCCAACCCTTCCCTGTTGCCATTTTACTCACCCCGAAGATTATGGAACAGACGGCGTGCTACTTATCCGGTTACAATTAAGTGAGACGTCCTGTTAATCCTACATGGAACATTCGCGACGGTGAAGGCGGTGATCTATCACCCAATCCACAAGCACTAATAACTTCATGCTCAGCATTAACAAAATTGTATGTTAATGACTAAGCTCTCTGCTTAAACAACACAGAAACAGAAAAATCGATATTCCCGCTATATGCCCTGCTTCGTCGATATAGTTTGGGAACCTTAGCCTATTTGCCATGGAGATCGCTGGGGTTCAATCAAGGCTTTCATGCGCTTCCTTGCTAAAATTCATTCAGTCATCCATTTGATTTCAATTGGCATTTGCCTCATATGTCAC